AGAAGTGACTCACTGCATTTCTAATCTGCATTCTGTAAAGCAGATTTTCCCCCAGGAACTGCATTGGCCAAGGCATCTGCATGCACAAAGTAGCATCTTGCCATGTGTAATCATACATATTTTCATGTATGATTCTAGTATGAGACATCTGATGGATTTATCACTTAACATAATTTAATTGTAACAAACTCAGATGTGCTAAAGTGACAGATATGCTGTACTATCTAATATTCTTGAGAAATATGGAATCTTATGGGGCATGATGGGGCATATCTGTAATCCCAGCACTTGCCTGAGAGAGGGGAAGTAAGTTCAAGACCAGTCTTGACTACATAGTGAAACTATATATATAAAAAAAAAAAAGCCTGAGGCTGAGGATGTACTTCAGTGTAGCATGCTTGCTTAGGTCTGTCTGTCTGTCTGTCTGTCTGTCTGTCTGTCTGTCTGTCTCTCTCTCTCTCTCTCACACACACACACACACACACACAACACACACACACACACACACACAAAGAGAGAGAGCAAGGGAGGGAGGGAGGGAGGGAGGGAGGGAGACTTGTTTAGACAAGCATTTTCAGAACTTGCTGGAGCTGTCCGTGACGTCAGAGCCACAGGCTCTGACAGCAGCCAGCCTCATTTTTGAAAATCGCGCTGTTGACTTGAGTGCTAATGAAGTTCTCAAAGCCATCTGAGTTTTTTCTATATACCTCATCATATCATTTCTATGGAGCCTCTGACTAGAGGGGACAAATAATCTACACAGATATAAATCAAACTTCTCTTTTAGAAAGTTGAGACTAACACAAATCATTTGTCTTCCCTATTTCTTATGGGAAACATAACCATGTATTCATTGGCAAAGGCTTCAACAGAAATGGAAATGAGCCTCTGTTTGTTCTTCTGTGAAGTGGGGGTTGATCCTATCCAACCCAGACAGTTTGTGTCTATTAAATATGAAATGGTTTCCATAGGCTCATGTGTTTGAACACATGGTCCCCAGGTGGGAGAGGGTTTTGAAATTGGGCCTGGCTGAAGGAAGGCCTTGATGTTTCTTAGCCCCGCCCAAGTTTATGTCTGTCATCTGCTTCCTAACCAGGGACACAGTGTAACCAACTCTCTCTCATCTCTGCCACCATGCTTTCCCCACCATGATGGGTTGTAACTCCTAAAACTATGAACCAAAATAATCCCTTCTTCTCTTAAATTGCTTCCTGCCGGGTTGCTGGTTGATCATAGCAACAAGAAAAGTAACTAATACAATGTAAGTCAGCTTTCTGTAACTGTACCAAATGCCTGGGGTGAAGCATTTTAGAAGGAAGAAAGGTTAATTTGGCTCTTAGTGGCAGAGCTTTCAATATGTTGTCACTTGACCCAATCATTTTGGACCTGAAAGAACACAGCAAATCATGATGGATCACATGGTAGAGAAAGTCTTTTCATCCTGTGGTCCAAGAAGTGAGGTGGAGGGTATTGGAGAAGGACAGCATCCAATATCTCTTCAAGGACGCTCCCAATGACCTAACTTCCTCCTAAAGGTCACTTCTGCTCCCAATAGTGCTGCAGGCAAGGGGCAACGCTATATACATATTACACCCTGGCCTCTCCTCTCCTCCTAGTCCCCGCCCCCACCCCCAATCCACTCCTCCTCCATTTCTGTTTAGGAAAGGACAGGTCTCGCTTGAATATCAACAAAACACGGCATATCAAGTTGCAGTAAGACTAAGCACCTCCCCATGTATTAAGGATGGGCAAGGTGACCCAATGTGAGGAGTGGGGTCCCAAAAGCCAGTAAAAGAGTCAGAGACAGCCCCTGTTCCTGCTGTTAGGAGTCCCACAAGAGGACCAAGCTACACAACTGTAACATATATGCAGAGTGCCTATGTCAGTCCCATGCAGGCTGATTGTCGGTTCAGACTGCAAGCCCTATGAGCCCAGGTTAGCTGATTCTGTGGGTTTTCTTGTGGTGTCCTTGACCCCTCTGGCTCCTACAATCCTTTCTCCCCTCTTCTGCAGGATTCCCCAAACTCTGCTTAATGTCTGGTTGTGGGTCTACATCTGTTTCCATCAGTTGCTGGATGAAGACTCTGATGGCAGTTGGGCTGGGTACCAGTCAGGGGGCCATGCTTTCACATACACAGGCCTTTAGAGCACATTCTATATACACACTAGCAGAACTTCAAGGAAATTTGCTAAGAAACTATATTAAAACAGCCCAGCATAGAACCCCACCCATGGTCTAACCTTAGAACATAGCAGTGATGCAGCTCTTTGAGAATAAAGGAGGCATCTCTTGGTCCAGAAAGGCTTGACCTAGGGACCAGGCTGCAGGACCGTCAGTAATCACCAAATGTCAATCTGAGGCAGTGGCTCTCCAGTCTTTATCTCATGTCAACGAAGACTAAAGATGTGGACAAAGAACAAAGCAGGGTTTATTGAGAACAAGTGAGATTTAAGAAAGATGCTCAAAGAAGAGTTGACGTCTGAAGGGAGAAAAGACCACAAGGCTGCATGCACTGTAGGCACTTTCTACCGCAATGGCAGAAACTGGATAGGAAAAGAGGCGATCTCCATGGAGACTGGTCAGGTCTCTGACCATATCCTAGCTGAGACGATGGGGGAGCTAATGCTCTGTGCCTGTCCCACTAGCCCAGCCAGGAAACTGTGTGCTGTTCACGTGCTACTCCTTCCGTTAGAGCAGTAGTCACATGCTGGAGCTCCTCTCTGGCCATCTCGTCCTTGTTCTGTTAACCACTGCCCTTGGCTCGTCTGCGGACGACTAGCCCTGACCAACACTGCTAGTCACTGAGCCGGTATCCTGCCAGCTATTAAATAAATGATGCTCTCTCTGTTTTCATGTTTCTGTGACCAGCTTGGAGTTTTACCACAGGTCTTTCCCAGTTAGTGTCATTAAGAGCCGTTAACTCCTGCTTCAGTCTGTGCTCTGATACTGTTGCTATTATCACTTGGCCCATGGTATGTGGGTGGGTATGGGTGGGGGGGGGGGGGGGGCGAGCGGCTGTGGAGTCCTAAAGGATCAATAGTATCTATCGCACACCACTCAGAGGAACTGTTCCTACCTAAGAGGCTTGAGAAAAGACCATGCCAACCAGATTTGAAACATTTGGATTTTTGAAATCTTTCAATCTCCTTTCAGGAAAAATAAAAGAATTGAACTTTGGAAATTTCTCTAATTTCCCAGAAGAGAAAAAAGTTGAAGAAATGAGTGAAAGAGTCCCAAAGAAAAGGGAAGCATGCAAAAAGAACATCTCCATAGCCTGCTCCCCCCATCAGCCCCAAACCTTCGCCCATGTGGCTGACACATCTCCAAAGTTCACTATGCTCAGCTGGAGACCCAGAGCCTCAGCTGCTACCACTGTTCCACTAACAATATCAGAAGCCTACTTCTGGGCACCCTCCACCCCCTAGGGTGTGGTGTCCCTGGCCCTGGGGCCATGTCTTTAAAAAGTTAAATGGAGAGCCCTCTGATAGGGAGAGCTCTGAAACTGTTCTCTTTGGTCTGTGTGGTAGGAAAGCCCACCTTCCTAAAGTTTAAAAACCTGTGTCAAGGGCCACGTGAAATTCAACTGAAGTCAGAGTTCCCCGTCCACTAAGCTAGATGTAGTGGCTCAGTCCTTTAATCTCAATATTTGGGAAGTTGAAACAGGAAAGTCCAGATGAGCCTGGACTAAAATTTAAAAATGAAAAGTTCCCCACTCCCTACTCAGATCTCTACAGAAGAAACACAGCCAAAACCAGTTCTCTGTGGGTAATATCAGCTTTGGTATGCGGAAGGGAGAGCAGAGGAGCCAGCAGGGAGGGCGGTACTTTATCCGGGTCCACAGCACGATCTGACCTCAGCTGTGCGGCAAAAAGAAGAATCTGTAGCCAGAGGGCTTTCAGGGGTCTGAGGACGGGGGTGGTCATGCCAGCACCTGATCAGAACAGTTGTTTACACTGCCTCTCTAGTTATCTTTCCAACGCAGCCCCCACAAAAGCCCTCTGAAGTTTCAACATCTTTACTTTTTCTACTGAAATGAAAACATTCAAATTCGGCCTTCAAGGCCCGACCCAGTCTAGCCTCAAGCTGTTGCCCCAGCAGATTCCCACAGTTCCCTGAACATAACACAGCCAGCCTGGAGTTCCATTTCCTTTCAACCTCAGCGGCTCCTTCTGCCGCAATCCCAGCTGAAACGACTTCTCTGTTTTACCAGGGACTTTGATGATGTTACCAAATGCGGGGTTTGTTTTTCAGATCAAAAATCTTTCTGGTTTAGAGATGTGAGGTCAGATGGCCTTAAGCACTTAAGGATTCCATCAGCATTAGTCTGCTGGGTCCAAAAGCAGAGATAGGAAGCCAGAAAGAAAGACAGTCTCTGCTTTGACTGACAAACAGTGCCCAGTTTCCACACGTGGGTGCACTGGAGCTGCCTGAACCCAGGCTCACCCTTGAGCTGAGAGGTTATGGGAAGATGTTCACCATACAAACTGGGGGAAGGTGGTGATTCATAAATGTACCTGAATGTTGTGACTGAACTGGGAATATTTCCTGACTTTCAAACCCTCTGATACTAACAGAGATTCCATAAACCTTGGAATTCCAAGCGTACTGCTCATCAGAAAAAGAAAATGCAAAACTCTGTGCTATGGAAAGTCTCTTTTCTTCTTTCTCCCTCCTTTCATCCCTTTTCTTTCAAAATAAAGGCTCCTTAAGGAGAAATCAAAAGAGAATAGGGGAGCTAAGCAGACATATTTGTGTAATATGTCTAAAATAGTCAGAGATCAGGGAAAACAGGAAGGAAAATCAGTCGGATCCAGTGTGTGCCGTGAGCTTCCAGGACACCTCCTGTAGCTTCAGGAGAACTGTGAGTGCTTCTGCTGTCCTTGTCGTTGTGTTCTCAAATGCAGTCTTCTCCTCGCCTCCCGTGTTCTCTAGCAAAACAGCATTTATTAAAGTCTGCAGCCCCGAGGCACAGGATATCTGAATATCTCATCTCCAAAAACACGACAGTCAAAGCTGGAGCCGAACAAAGAGCTCAGGACACAGGCACTGCGGGGACCGGCCTGCTCTCCAACAGAACACAGTGAATGGGCCTGGATTCTTATTTTCTCTTTCTTTTCTTTCTAGAAACGGGAAAATCGACCAAGAAATTCACAAATACAACACCCCAGGCTTCACAGGCTGCCTGTCCAGAGTCCAGTTCAACCACATCGCCCCTCTCAAGGCCGCCTTGAGACAGACAAACACCTCGGCCCACGTGCACATCCAGGGCGAGCTGGTGGAGTCCAACTGTGGGGCCTCCCCACTGACGCTTTCCCCCATGTCTTCGGCCACTGACCCTTGGCACCTAGATCACTTGGATTCAGGTAAAGTCTGGAGCTGTCTTGGGCTGATTGCATCATTCTTTTCAACCTCACTTTCCTCAGCTGTAGAATGGGTTGATCATGGACCCTTGCTGACACTGTTGCTGGAGGATTAAGACACGGCAGGAAGGAAACTGTGAACCATGAGTTCTCAGTGTAGTGCTCGGCACCTAGGAAGGGCAAAAGAGTTATTTCTACTCAAAAGCAGAAACAGAGAAGTCAGAGGTTAAGAGTATAGGGATGAGGACTCTCTCTTCATGTAGGTTAAGAGATGTCCACACTGCTGTCTACAACATGGCTACGGGTGACTTGGACAAATCACTTCCTCACTTTTGCCCACTTTCCCTCCAAAACAGAGCAGAGATTCACCTCCCATCAGGATCACAGATTGCTAAATCTGAAAGAGCTACATTTAAGCTTACAACACCCCGTCTACAGCCATACCATCCTGCATGCTCCTGATCTCATCTAAACTTAGACAGCCCTGTGGGTTTGGCCCTATTTCTGCAGGTGATAAGACGTGCAGTTTGAAAGCACTGGACTCAAATGAAAGGAAGTGGTATTGGTAGTGAAGTTAATTAGCTGAAAACTCAATGTCTCTAACGGAAAGCCTACTGAACTACATTTCTGCTCTCAGCTCCACATGGGCTGACCACTGGCAGCCACAGATAACCCACCTAAACCATTGTCTTTTCATCCGTAAGGTGGAGATGGAGAAGTGGCATGTAAATTTCCCAGTGCAATCAATGGGTCTCCAAGCAACCCAACTGACTGGGGATGTTAATGACCTTAAAACAGTAAGAATTCACAAGACAGGACAACATGGGAGTAAAGCCCAAATTCCAACCCCATCATTGCTTCTTACCAGCAGATTAAACTCAAGCAGCTGTCATAACCTCATTCCTCAGTTTCTCCATTCCTAAAATAGGGACACTGTCACAAGAATTCCACATGAGATGATGTACTCAGTGGTTGAGAGCACTTGCTGCTCTTACAGAGAAGCAGTGTTCAATTCCCAGCATCCAGTGGTGGCTCACAACCATCTATAGTCCGGTTCCAGGGCATCTGAAACCCTCTTCTGGCCTCTGGGGCACTGCATATGTGTGGTACACATATTATCTACAGAAAACACTCAATACACATAAAATATAAAATATATTTTTAAAAATTGTAACTTGACACAAGCATAGATTCATGGCAAGCTTGTAAAGTATTTAGCTGTCACAATATTAATATTGTCATCATGGTTATTATGTTAGACCGTTTGCTGTAGCTTAAGAATGTCCACTGAAAGCTTCCAAATCTCTCTCTCTCTCTCTCTCTCTCTCTCTCTCTCACACACACACACACACACACACACACACACACAAACACACACACATACAAAGAGATAGACTCCAATTTCTAACAACTCATCATACAGTAGTGTACAGTAGTGCACACTGGATTGATTTAATCACCTCGTGGTCCTATGCCAGTATTAAGCTTCAGAGCAGCCAGTACTGTGGTGATTCTTACTAGGACTGGCCCTGGGAGATTTGTGAAGCTTAAAAAGAAGCCAGAATTGTTTCATTGTCAGGATAGCCGACTGACAGTCTACACAGCCCTCTTTGTTCCTCACTTCTGGATGCCTATAGCATGGTTAGAGCACCGTGTGCCTACAGCACTCACAGCAACTCCCTTTTCTAAGTGTTGTTAAGGGCACTCAGCAGACTAGGCTTTCCTCCTGAGCTGGCTTGAACAAAGAAAGCATTCCTGCGGCAGAAGGAAGAGAAGAGGGATGGAAAATGTGAGAGGAGAAAAGACACGTGTCAGGGCCACAGAGACAGGAGTCCTTAGACGAATTCCTGCACCTGTGAGGGTGGACAGCTGGTGAACTGCCTTTAAAGGCACAAGGTCCGGGATGCTGCAGTAGATACTGCAAGCAGTGGCTATGAGGAGCTGTGAGGAGCTGTGAGGAGCTGTGAGCATGTGTGCATACTGCCAAGAAATTGGATTCCAAACATATCTAACGCTTCCCTGGGCCAAGATGAGCTCATATTCATTATGGCTTAATTAGCCAATTGTTTGCTTTTAAGGTCTGTGAAATGAATGTCAGTTGTAGAGACCAAGCCATTTTAGTTCATGGATTTTTAAAAATGCTTTATTCATGACAGCTTCCTTCTTCTGATTGATTCATGCAAATGCATACAGTTTAGAAAACATTTCTGTTGGATTCAACACTCAAATTCTGATTCCAAGTCAGCACAAACCTGTAATTGTAGCACTTAGGCAAGAGGATTCCAAGTTCAAGGTCAGCCTGGGTTACATAGCAGGACCCTGTCAGAAAGGAAAAAAGAACGGGGGGGGGGGGGGGGGGGGGAGGCAGGCAAAGAAGCCAGCCAGTTGGGATTTAGATCCAACCATGAACCATTTCTATAATTGGGGAAATACCTTTTTGTTAAATGTCAGTCTTGTGAGCTCTATTAGAAGGAAGAGTGGAATACTTCCTTCAAACTGTGAAACAGATGCTTATTTAGGTAACATGATTCCATTTTCTTCTTTTAAATAACCGGGAACAGGAGGGGGGTGCAGGGTAAGAGAGAAGAAGGGACAGAGAGAAGCCAGGGTGAGAGGTGACTTCACAGCAGCCTCTGATGAGACAGTGTAGGAAGGAAAAGCATGTCCCAAAGAGAGAAGTATGGCTGCCTTGTCCTCCAGAATTCTCCACCTTTTCCCAGAAATAGAAGCTCTAATTAGGTTTCCTTCTAAATCTACTGCACTCTAAATAATTTGTGGAACTTGGCCAGGCGGTGGTGGCACATGCCTTTAATCCCAGCACTCGGGAGGCAGAGCCAGGCAGATCTCTGTGGGTTCGAGGCCAGCCTGGACTACCAAGTGAGTTCCAGGAAAGGCGCAAAGCTACACGGAGAAACCCTGTCTCAAAAAACCAAAAAAAAAAAAAAATTGTGGAACTCGAGTGATGGCTCGTTTAATAAAATGTTTGCCATGCAAGCATGAAGACCTGAGTTCGATCCCTGGCATACACACACACACAGTTCGATCACACTGGCACACACACACACACACACACGTGCACACACACACAAAGAGCCAGGCGTGGCGGCATGCATCTATAATCTTAAATGAGAGGAGGTGAAAGCAGGTTGATCTCAGGCTAGCCTGGCGCAATCAGTGAGCTCCAGAATCCCGTGAGAGACCCCCCCTCAGGAATTAAGATGGAGAGTAACTAAGGAAGACATCTGATGTTGACCTCTGAACCCAGACACACACAGAGAAAGAGACAGACAGACAGACAGACAGACACAGACAGAGACAGAGATTTTAATTTAACTTATAAATTTGATACTAACTCTGGGATTCCAAATGGATCCTCACACCAGCAACTGCACCCTTGTTTCTGCTTGTCTACACTCATCATTCTGAGTTCTCAGTCAAGGGCTTTGAATGGTCTAGATAATCCCCCAATCTTGAATAGAGAAATAATTCTTGCTATGAGATATTAAAAAAGAAAACAATAGAATGTACACAAAGTAATGTTTTCTTCTATGAATAATGTGAGAGTGGGACTGGCGTTTGGGACAGAAAGAGAATGAAGGTGAACACTGGCCATCTCTGGCCTGGCCTGAGGTATCTTAACTAATTTGTTTCATGGAGGGCCCTGAAGTATGCCCTCCACTTGATAGCCTCAAATCACCCGGAAGCTTGCTGGAGAGGAGGAACCCTACAAGGAGGGACCAAAGCACCTCCATTTCATCCAGGATTCCTAGGTGGCTTGCCACATGTACAAGAAAGTCTTTAAGTGTTCATCTGGTATTGAGCTCCACCTCTGGGGCACTTTAGAATTACTGGGGTATCAATGTGGATTTTGCACCTCTGAACAATTAAAGCAAATGAGGACAGCATGCTAGTGTCTGTAGATAAAACCTCAAGAGACTCCAATATATAGCAGGGTTGAGAATCACTCACCAAATCAGAAGGGTTCCTTGAAGAGCACTTGAAAGTACACTATTAAAAGAAGCAAGACCGTGCTGGGGTTCTGCTTTAGGGGCAGAACACGTGCCTGGGATGTGCAATGCCCGGGTTTAATCTCCAGCCCCAAAAGAAAAAATAAAAATAAAGTAGCTAATCTTCTTTTCAATTTGACTTGGTTTAGAATCACCTTGGAGACACACCTCTGGGTATGTCTGAGGGTATTTCCAGAGAGGTTGAATGGAATGGAAGAGGGAGCACCCATCTTAAATGTGGATGGTACCACCCCATGGACCGGGCTCCTGGACTAACAGAAAAGGAGAAAGAGAACTGGGCACCAGACTCATCTGCTTCCTGAGTGCAGATGCAGGGTGCCGCTCCCTCCTGCTACACCACCCATCCTTCAAGCCTTTCCTTCCTTAGTTGCTTTTGCGGGCATTTTGCCACAGCAATGAGGAAAGTCATTGTTAATCGGCCCTTAGAACTGTTTTCTGAACAGCCGTTATCAGGTAGAAAAAGCAACCCCAGTCTGTCTTATTTGAAGGGTCACAGAGTACAGTTGCTGTGACTCACCTCTCAGAATTGTTGGGTCTGGTGTTTTTCTCTCTGTCACATTCAGAATCTTACTTCCTTGGAATGGGAAAGACTTGCCAGCCAAGAGATGGCTACAGATGGAGCCCGCACAGTCTGTAAAACACAAAGGCAAAACAAACAGCAGAAAGCATGAGTCCAAGAGTCAGCTACCACCCGTCTCTGTGCATGCCAAGCTGTGTGTGTGCACTCCCATGGAGCCTTGGGAGTCTGGTCCCATTCACGGTGTTTGACACACAAGGAATTGGACCAAAGGCATTTCTTTCAGAAGATCATTGCAGCAGATAAGCTTCATTCCTACAGGTCTTCTGGTTAAAAGGATGATGACTTCTCACTGTTTCACAGGACTTGACTGCATACTGCAAACACTCTTGGCATAATTCACACAGTGAAACATCAACCTCAAAAAACCTGCCTTTGGAAGGCATTAATAGCTGAAT